ATTTATATTCTCCACACTGTTCTCTATACACTTAATAAGGTGCTGACAAGTAGAATTTGTCTAATGAACAATCAAGAGTTTCTTTAGTAGGTGATCATTTCCTTTATTCTCATGACATGAATGTGTAAGGAGAAATTAGATGCTAGTCACTCTTTAAGGTTAAAGGTTTACCAAAAAAAGCGAGTCCTATAAATATGGATTTTCTCTCGCTCTAGGGAGCGGAAGGAGGGGAAGCCTTGGGAACGAGGTTGATGATTACCCAGCATACCTTTTTCGTTTCCACACGATACAAATTACGACCAAGCAGGTTAGTACAACAATCAACGCAGAACCCAGAGCCACCAAGGCAATGAGAATTATGTTGAACTTCTGTTGGTGGCCTTTAAGTGACGTTACAATAATAATCTGAGTGCGCACGGTTGACGAAACCAAATTGATTTCTGTCGAGGCTGATGACGTCTTTGCACCTGTTGTAGTGTTCCGCTCGACAGGAGTACTTGTGACACGGATGCTTTTAACCGATGGCTTTGAGACACGGGTGCTTTTTACCGATGGCTTTGAGACACGCGTGCTTTTAACCGATGGCTTTGAGGTTGGTACGATGTCAGTAACTATAGGACGCGAAAAATATGCATAATTACATTACAAACCAAGAAAGATTAAGTTTACGGAGACTCGCTCTACGCCAATGTTATAATCATGGTTATAGAGATCAGTTAATTGGTTTAAAAACTGTTTCCAATCAATTGATAGCTATGTAGCTCTGCGACATTGGAGATATGAAGAGCATCATACTTACGAGATCCATTCTTCTTGAAAAACAAACAAGAATTTGAAACGTTTCCTTCGTCTCCATGACACCGCAACTTGAGCGAGAAAATGCGTCCATCGTACTGCTTTCCAATGTCATTAGTCCACTTCACAAATGTCAAATAAAAAAAGATGTTGAGATAAGTAAGATTGTCGCGGCAAAGTACATTAACATCCTAAACCTACAGCAATTCTCTCTCGCTAACGACTGAACGAAAAAAGGTTGTTCTACCATAACGAAGCGGCCACTTATCATTTCGACCAATCCAAAAGAACAAGGACATAGAAATGCAATGGAAAAGAACAAAACCGTCAACCATCCCTTGATAGATGCTTTTCTTAGATTCAATTTTTTCTCATGGTTAGGGAGAAGGTTTGCTGTCAAGCATATTGAACTGTTCTTCCGCAAAATACCAACGACTCTCTCAGTCTTCCTTTTCTCACAACAGGAACATAGCAGCCTATTAAACAACAAAACTACTATCCTAAGCACTTTTTCGAACCTGATAAACGTAGCACGTTCACCTTTTCTGACAGAAAATAAAGGGGTTTTCAAAATTCCCTATGGCATTAATATAGTGTGAAAAGTTGCATTGAACTTACTTTGAGAAATAGCTTGTTCTCATCATAGTCAGGATCTGGATGAATTTCGACAGATAGTGTCGAAAGAGGTTTGTCATTAGATAAAAAGTTTTCCCAGCTACCATCAAGATAAAGCGATTCCTTCGGTAGTATCTCGCATCTCGACAATTCCTTGGTAAGTTTAAAATGTAGAAGGGCAACAGTAGGTTTCTGGCTCCATGGACACAAATAAACGCTTCTGTTCCCAGGATGTCTTGTGTTAAGAGTTGCGAGAAGTTCACGGTGACATTGGCGATAACTGTCGCCCACAACAGCACGGTATTCACAACCTAACAGGCAAAGGTATTATAGATTAATTCCTCACACTGGTCATGCTTCGATCAGCGCCAAACTCTCTAAGGCGCTCTCAAGCTTTAAAACAGTCTTTAAATGCGCCCCTATCGCATTGGAGACGAATGAACAAAAATACTCCAGCTAGGCACGAGCGAAGGTCCAGTCAGTGCTGAGCTTTATTAAAACGTTCCCCAACTTTAAAAAAGTTTTTTTATACGTTTTTTTAAAAGGGGTGTTTGATCCACACTACGCTATGGCACCACAATGCATAGGACACGTCTTAACAAACTCTTTCCCAAAGTGCATTCTCTTCCTCCCCTAATAAAATAACTTTCTCGAGAGCTTTCAAAGTAGAGAAAGAAAGAGAGGAGCCTGGGAAAGAAGTTTTTTCCGGAACACTTTTCCATCGCATTCCGAAAACAAAAATCACATTTCTACAGCGGAGGACTCAGTTCTTCACCCAAATGTGTAAAATCTTTAACATTTCCCATTGTATCCCGCATTTCCGACGCTACGAATTACAAGGAGATTACGACTTGCACATAAACCGTAAATAATGAGAATACTGGTATATCAATTTTCCGCCAGCGTTTCCGCAGTATGATATCCTACAACCGGCTTAATCAATTGAAGATTCGATTTTTCCGAAAACCTACAAAACAGCTCCACGTTTTGATGAATCACACAATTCCTTCTGCCTTTTTAAGCTAAACTTTTATAAAACGTGTCAATCAAACCCCAATAGCGATAAAAATCTGTGGTTGAGTAAATAGACTTGATAAATGACCTTGGAGCGACGTCTCCAGCCATCAAAGTTTCATTCATTTCCCTCCCATAGTCCATCACGAAAACGTTGTCGAAGTTTCGATCGAATATGCGCTGTGCATAGGTGTATATTACCTTGATACCAGTTTAACTTTCACCATTGTTCTCTAGAGTAAACTTTTCGATTTCCTCGCTATAAGCAACAGAGTTAAATAAGTAACCCGTGGTAGCGTTATAAGAAGCTTTATAACTATACAGACTTACTACGACAAATCTGATCGCTTTCCAAAACAATTGATAGCAAAATCTTGTCTTAAGCGCTCCTAATACAAAACATGGGTCAAAAAACACTCCAAGTGCTTTTTTAAGCAAAACAGATAAAAACACAATTAGGCGTTGCTGATTTCGACGTGTAACAAATATTTGCAATCAGCTGTTTGAGACATTAGCGAAAAAATTCGCCATGATCGGAAAACCAGCGTAGACTATGAACAGCGATGTGGCAACTGAAGATGTGATCATGACTTTTATCGGATCCTATCATCGCCTCTTAACGTCTCAGTCTGTCGTGTTTGTCGCCATGTGTGCTCCATATGTATAGAGCAAAATAGAGACTGTGGTTGAATGCAAATACTGGTACTTCGAAGAAGCAAATCACAGATCAGACGAAATAAAAACAAAGGTCTTTAAAAATAATAGCAGGCGAATGCAGCAGGATCCACGGAACCGAGCGAAGGAGTCGAACCGCTCGAGATTCCGACAACACTGACAACATGACCCGCTCGTGCCGTGTCGATAAAATACAACTTGTCGAGACTTGAAATAGATTCTCCACGTACACTGATGACTTACCTTGAATAACACTTTGAGCTTTCAAAATGGACATAAGTTGCTCGTCAGAGCGACACGTCCCATTGCTTTGAAGATAGGTTGGTTTCTCTCTCTCGCAGTTACAATAACAACAATTGAACCCGCAAAATGGCGAGTTTTCTCCATCGAGGACGCATCTTGCACCACTCTCATTACAAGATCTGGAAGAGTTTATGTTTTGAAAAAGATCACCTTCTGTGTATCGTGTAATATTGAAAGTACTTCTTCTGCTTTCCACCACAAGAATAAGTGCAAATACAAGTAATCTCAGCGAGAGATTAACGAATTTCTGAGACATTTTGATCGGGTAGAGGACAAGTGAAGACTGGAGCACCATTGTGAGAAAACCGGTTGTAAAATCCGTCAGAAACCGCACATGATTCCCACACCATTGGCCGTGCCCATTAATCCGGTTTTGTCTGTTGAGTTTCGCGGCTGCTGTCAGGAAATCGTGTGCAAACGCCTTTCATTTTCCTATCTCTAACTGATATTTGAGAACAGTTTTCGTTTCCAGTCGCCCCACCTTGTGAAAATGGAAGCAGAAAATTTTTCACATTTCTAGATGTCTAACGTCTTCAAAAATAATCAAACCACTTTGAGTATCTCAATAATAAATAGGATGGGTTACTTTGATGAAAACACAAAAAATCTACTGATAATTATCAATGAAATTCTTTTAGGACACCACAACTCACAAAACGGCAAGTTGGAGGAATTTCCGGTCTTTGGTGACAAACAGAAGAGCGTGACCTGTCCAAGAACTTGCTATAAGCGGAGGTTACCAAAGTATAACGTAACGCCACCAGCTGTGTATTCTACAGGAGACCAACATTTCTGCTAAGAATGAAAGGTATATAATTTATTTAATGTTCCAGAAGACCAAAACGTCTCAAAACGAGGCCATGCAGGTCATATCGTCATCGAAAAGGGCGAATTCCTCAAAATCCAATTTCCTGTTTTCTCTAATAATTTCAACATTTGTTCTATGAACCACTCATTTGACATTTTTTGTCAAAATCTGTTTTAGATAAATCAAGGATTGGTAAAGAAAATTGCACTGTAAACAAAGGGTGAGATCATCCTAGTCATGAATGCTAATCACGTTAGTCACCCATGACTTGCTCAACATGAGATAGTAAAATGACGTGAGCATGGAGTCGGTGGCCTTCATGTACATGTTTTTGTAACTGGCACAGCTCATGATTCAGTTAAGGGAAAAAGCAAAACGCCTTCATTCGCAGTACGCCTACAAAGTATCTATTTCTCTCCAGCGCACTATTAAAAAGAATGTTTTCTCTCGTGGGTGACATAAAGCTGTTCGTAAGCCAGAAATAATAATGAACTTACTTCCTATTGGGGTGAATCTTTGACTGGCGTTCAGCTCCAAGAACTGCGTAGATATATAAATCAAATCTTCTGGGTTATTTAAAAGCTGGGAAGGTGGACGTTACAGATGTCGAGTACCCAGTTTTCACGCTCTCATTTCAGTATTACTGTCTAGTTTTGGCTCGATTTTGGTGCAGTGGGTATAAACAACATTAATTCAAGTCTGTAAATAACATCAAATTGGAGAAGAAAACAAGACGACTTGTTCCATATTTTCCTCAAGCATTAAAAACGTCTGCTGTCTCACTTTCCAGCGTGAATAAGTTATCACGGACATGCGGAGGTTCACTTCTAAACAACATCACAGACTTCTATTCCTGAATTTAATTTTGTTACAATATTTTCAGCGCGTTAATTGGTGAAAGAGCGAACAATTAATTAAGTAGAGCCCACATGCTGAACTAATACCACAAAGGGCGTGTGCTCGTCTGACCGCAGATTAGACAGCCAATAAATTTATCTCTTCAAATTGACCCTAATGATTCAAAGACACTTCATCTCCTCTTAAAGGAAATTATGACCTAATTTTAAAAGTTGTCTACGTTTAGGTAAGTGTAACCAACTTAAAGCGTGAATACTATGTCCCAATCTCCAAGCAAATGTTAGTTAGTCAAGACATATATGCTTTCGTGACATTACCACGGTCATGGTCACGCGGCGAATGTTGACCCATGCGTGGAATCAATGAAATATCGATTTTCTTAGATTTTCAAGTAAAATATTGTTGGTAAGGTAATTTGTTGCTACAGTCACTCAATACACTACACGGCATTAAGTTCGAAGAAGAAATGTGCCCAATTTGCCATCGGGTTTCCCATTCTCAGACGTTAGGAAAATCAGGCGATTTCGGGATATCGTATTACACAGAACGGCCACAAAAAGCTCAAAGTTTTAAAATACAGGGGCTCAGTTATTGTTCAGTTTATTAAATGTATTGTTCCGCCACCATCTCGTTACCATAAGCATTCTTTGTTTTATTTTTTTTTGTTCAGAAACTGCGCCTTGTCTTCGTAAGACATTCGGGTCTAATGAACCTCTTTCCAGCTCGAGAAATTATAAATTTGACACTCGAAAAAGTAGGCTTTGTTGGAGCTCCTATTATTTTTCCCTTGTTGAGAAATTGAGGATTACGCTAATGTATGATCTACACTAGTAAAAAACGTTCACAATTTTCAATACTGCAGGATTAAAAAAATTATCTGATAATGCCAAACGACAAATTGCAATAATGCTAAACGACCAATTGTACACCGTCGCTAAGCGACAGTGTGCAATTTCAAAAAGGAAAAGATGATGAAAATTGATTTTCATTCAGATGACAGCGTCGAAGCAGGCTGTTTTCATTATTAACACATTAGCTTGAAACTCGCCTTCAAAGAAAAGTGATCTGATGAAAAATACTCATTAGGAAAACCTCTGTACGCCGCGATTGCTGACGCAGGTAAGGTTTCCAGAACTGATGTAACTTGCAAATTTTCGGAATCAAACCAAATGTAGTCAAGAGTCCACAAGCGACTCGCATCATCCTCAAAACCTGTGCATTCAGGCTCAGAACCCTAAAAAATAAAGGAATTATTACGGATATTACAATCAATTTTACGAAATGCTTAAAATAACGTTTAGGAAAAACGAATTGGAAGTAATTAAAATATTTCCTTTTCTTGCGATCATAACATTCTTGACAACCTTATAACCCTGGTGTTAATTCGACCTTTGTTAATTCAAGCTGACCATAAAAGAGATTTCATAATGGCTAGTGCTGGGCTGTTCGAGATGTTCAGTCAGTAGACTGGGCACTATGATAACCCAGACTTTACGCTTTGAGCTTCGTCCGAAGCCTCGTTCACCAATTAAAAGTTTAGGAAAGGCTCAAACTCCTCTAATATATTCATTTGATAAGACTGATACCAAAAAAAGAAAAATTCTCAAGAAAGTATGACCAGAGACCAAGACCCCCTACGTACCAACACCACCTTGTAGGCACTCTGCAGAGGTGTCAGTGGACAATGGAGATGGTTCTTGGCTTTGTTTAAAAGTGCAATCTGTTCAGGAAGAACCTAGAGATGGAAGCAGAACGTAACAGAAATCTTTCTTTATCTGATTCATTACACAAAATTGTCCAATGATGGAAAATTTCACCTGACTGCCCACCACTTAACATCTTTATACCATTTAAGGCATAAAGAATGGTACCTGCTCTGGCTTTGGAATATCTGCCGAGAATCGCAAGTAATCAACAGTTTGGAGTTTGCAGAATTCACTTTTGCTGAGACGACCAGTGGTTAGGAGACTGTAAGGAGGACAGTGAGGTTCAATATTAAAATCTCCACACAGGATATAGGCCACACGCTTTCCTTGTGACCTCAGTGACGTGACCATATCATGAAGGGCTTGTGTGACAAGTGACACTTCACAGATTTGCGTGACAGGTTCAAGGAGATCTTTCCATAAAATGTGAGTGGTAGCTTGAACAGGAAGAAAATAAACCTATTAAGATAATTACCATGTAACTACTCTTACAATATCCATGAGAATACTAAAACTTATCGATTAGAAGTTGTTATCTTGATCTAACACTAAATTTTTGTAACCAATTTTACAATGAAATGGGTAGCAACAAGAGGGGGGAAATAACAATCAGATCTTGGGAGTTACAGGGTTAACTTGGGAGACCATCCACTGTACAGTGTGACCTCATGCATAAAGCAGGTGATGTGACATTGGCCAGCACATCTTCTTGAGCATCTCCTAGTTTCTGGAGACTGAGAAAGTGTGAATAATGCTTCAAGTCTTGGTTAGGTACCTAGTCTATTTCAGGTTGATCCCTGGCATTTTGTCAGGTTTCTTTGAAAATTTGCCATTACACATTTACACTCCCTGTTGGATAGACAGAGGCACTGTGAAAGTAAAGTGTTTGGCCTATGAACAAAATGCAATTGTCCCAAAAAGATATTTCCTGCAAGTCTTATAATCAACTCGAATAAATGAGCCCTTTCACTCTCAAAATCTCACTAGAAATTCTCCTTACTGTCTGCCATACAATTCCTAATGTGTTAGTTCAGAGAATTTGGTTTTGGATCAGTTGATAATTCCTATTTGATATTTTCCTTTAATCTTGTCACTTGTCTGCTTGCCATTGTGCTAATATTAGAAGGAGAAATTCTGTTATGGTCACTCATGGGAATCAAAGTGTTGAGAGAGAAGTCCATGTCTTTAAAACCAACAACGCTCAATATCTTACCTGTCACTAGCACCACATTGGTAATTTTATGCCTTACTGCTGCAAATATCGCAACTTCTCCAAATTTTTGACACTCAGCCTCTAAAGAGGCATCTGATGCAATGTCATTGATAACTAATGTTTTTGACTGTTCTAGTTCAAACTTGTCCTTTTTGAAGAACAGTGCTACTCCCTCCTGTCGACCTGTGCAGGGAGACTTCTGCATAAACAGTCCCTTATACCCTAAGGACAACATAACTTCTTCAAGGATTCCTGCAAAGTAGGCTGGGTCCACTTCTTGTAGACAGACAATGTCTCCATTTAACCACTGAAGCTGAAAAACATGAAAAAAATCATGTAAATAATCCAATATTCTTTATTAACCCTTTTACTGTCATGAGTGACCAAGACAGAATTTCTCCTAACAACACCAATAAAATATCAACCAGATAAGTGATGAGAATAAAGAAAAATATCAATTTGGGGATAATTAGTTGATCCAATACTAAATTCTCTGAACTAACATCATAAGAACTGTATGGCTGACAGTGAGGAGAATAACAAATTTGATCTGGGAGTTAAAGGGTTAATAAACCTTTTAACCTTTAGGGCTGACTAGCATCTAATTTTTTTCCTCAATGATGAATCAAACATTTAGGTCATGAGAATAAAGGAATTGATCACCTATCAAAGAAGTTCTTTGCTGATTTGATCAATTATGCAAACTTTCTGGTGATGAAATAAATTTCTTTTACCTCAGGCTTGCTAAGTATCATACTTAAAAATTATCTTCCCCCTCCCTTCCCCCTCTCCCCCTCCATTACCATTTTTCTGGTAAAGATCAAGCACAACTTACCTGTGGAGACCTAAGGCTGATATGTTACTATTACAGCCCTCATACTTTGTTGACAAGATAGATGCATAATGCATCTGATAAACAGCTTCTCAAGCTTCTCACACTGCCTGTACGAACTTTTTTCATACCTCTCTCATAAGTAGCTTGTGTCGTGGACAGCTCCTGTCTTGTTTTGGTGTAACATATTCTTCAGGGCAATTCTTATACCTGCCCTTTTTCAATGCACTTTGAACGTAAAAATCTGCAAGAATGTTGTATGTGACAACAGAAATGTCCTCTTCCCCACAATTATCCTGATCACTGATATAGGTGGTTTTTCGACTATCCAGAGTTGGCAAAGTGCTCATTTTATACTCCAAAACTGTACAATTTTTTGGAAATTGGACAAGGTAATGTTAAAGTTTCTATGAAAAAAAGTTGACAATCAGTGTGAGACAACAAAATTCACTCAGCTTTAAGAGTAAGAATGTGTTGAGCAGGACTTCCACATGCATGACCCCATTTTGTATATATCAGGTGAAGAAAAAATTTCCGCACAGCCCCACATTTTGTTATACATGCAAATCTTATTGGTGATACACTGAATAATAAAGCCCCATATATGGATGCATAATGATGGGGCTGTGCGGAAACTTTGCCCAGGTGAATAGTGCTTTTCACACATCATAAATTTAATTTCCGACCATATTTTGGTATATTGACAAAAATAATCTAATTTTTTTGGCTTCTGTGTGGTATATACTAAGAAAATACGAAATAATTATTTATCTAAGGGTGGATATTTACCACGCCGCTTCCTGACTTGGTAAATATCCATCAATATTCACCACCACTTCGATGAGCAATCGTTGACGATACAGCTTTAGGTGAAATAGTAAAGTACATAAATATAACCCTAAGAAAAAACATGGATTTATATTACTCAACTCTCTTCGCTTCAATGATCTGATTTGAGTTCGAAATATTCAGGTGATTTGTCCAACTTTAGTGATAATACTTATATTCAGCAGACGCGAGAGGCTGCAACCTCTATGGTTAAAGAATTTTCAATCGAAAGCGTGTCACATTAAGGATTACGGGATCCATGAATACCCTTGGATCATGCAGTCGCCATCCTGGATCAAAAATGGTGTGGGCAGGCTGGGTAAGACAAAGGCAAGAGGCCGCGTGACGTCAGTTACGGTCGATGTGATCGATATGACAGCGAGGAATGTTCCTTACATAACATAACATAATAATAACATGACAATATCTTTAAAACTCTGTTTAGTAACCAGAGGCTCTTTAGAGCTACCTCATGGTGTGCCTTAATTTATTGGTGATGAGAACTTTAAATATCTCTTTTTATTGTTTTTTTAGAGGGCACAGTAACGAATCTTGCAATCTGATTGGTTCTTTACCCGGTCAGTATTTTCCTATCTCTGCCCACGGGCCACGGTAACGCTTTCGTGAGTCGCCGAGTACATCCCAACTTTCGTTGTCATTTTTCATAAATATACCTCGTTTTCCGGCTGGGCAGTATTTTT